TTTGGTAAAACTTCTGTATTTAGGCTGGCTTACCATGGCTGAACCTATTATAGATAGCCTTCCATGGCTTCTTAAACTCTTCTAACTGTTAGAACAGACGACATATCTCTGAACTTCTTCCATGCTTGTCTGACCCTTGCAACAAGAGTTCCACTTTTCCGAAGGTTAACCCATTTCCAATATTCAAACTACCATTTTCTACGTTATCGGTATATGTACTCCTTTTATGCACGTTCTATAAATAATGGTCATTCTTGCTAACATCAAACCTCCTTTTTCCTGCTACATCTATTATGCACCCATTTCTGGCATCTGGTGCATTGGATTAAATTTTTTGCAACTCCTTTCCCACATATTCCACATGGCTAGTAGCCAGATTCTACCATCTTCAGATTATCCCCACCAATCATAACCTTTGTCTTTGCTGCATTTATTTTCAAGCCCTTTGCTTCCATTTACTAATGTTATCCCACAATTTGTCCTCACTGTTTGCCATTAATACAAGGTCATCTGCATATAATAGCTACTAGGAAAGTCCTTCACGCATTTCTCTAGCCATCATCCATTACTAAAAATAATAATGAGCACAGCATATATCCTTGTAATGAACTCAGCATGGATCTTTGATGAAGTTCTACCTTCACTTCAAAGCTTACACTATCCTTCATCCGTCTGTACCGCAGTTTGTGCTCCCACATACATTTCTATCACTACCATAACAATATAAGGTTATCTGCATAAAGTAGCTCCCATGGAAGTCCTTCACGCATAACCACCACATCCATTAATAAGATAAATAAAAATGGGCTCAGCATGGATCCTTGATGAAGTCCTACCTTCAATTCAAAGCTTTCATTATCTCCATCAGATGCTTTCTCCAAATAAACAAACGCATAATATAGTTCTTTTTATTTGCAAGATATCTGTAATTGTCTCACCGCAAAAATTGTATCTGTTGTTCCTTTCCCCGATGTAAAACCAAACTGAATTTCAACAATTATAATTTGTTCCCTTATCCGGTTCTCTAACACCCTCTCAAATACTTTCATTGCATATGAGTTTAATAGCTCTGTATGACCCTCAATTTAAAAGATAACCTTTCCCCTTGTATACTGGAATAATTATACACCAATTTTCGGGAATAATTCCTTCTGTCACAATTTGATTAGCTAAATTCATTAACCATTCAATCCCTAAATCATCAGAACCTTTAAATATCTCAGTTACCTCCTCGTTAAACCCGCTGCCTTTCCTCTTTTCACTGCTCTCTTAATTTCGACCTTCCCAAATTTACACCTGGACCTTCTACCTTTGCACAACTAACATCATTATCATATTTACCTCAGGATAACCACCATGTTTCCTTATGTTTAGGCGGCCCAGTTGTCCATCCACATACCTCCTCAGCTGTCCTCACACATGCTTTCTTCATGTCCCCCCACTTGTCATTTACCCCAGATGTTTGTGCCACCTCACTCTCTCAACGCCAATAGCATTTTGAATTGACGCTCCTCCTTCAAATTTCAAACTTTCAGCCTTGGTACAAACTTTCTTGTAGTGATCCTGACACCTTTAAAAGTGAGATCTTCTATAAGTAGTCGATGATGGTCAATACACTCCTCTCCTGGTATCACTCTCACATTTTTCTGTGCTTCTATCACATCTTCTTACTATCAATACACTCCTCTCCTGGTATCACTTTCACATTTTTTACTATGTTTCTATCACATCTCTTTACTAACAAATAATCCATTGCACATTTCGCACTACCCGACTTGTAAGTCACCAGGTTCTCCGATTTTTTCTTTAACATTATATTACAAACAATCATATCCATAGCATCACTAAAATCCTCTTCCCTTCCGGATTTCTCCTGCCGTAACTGAATCCTCCATGTACTCCTTCATAACCCTCAGTACTCGTTCCCACATGTCCATTCAGATCACCAGTCAGGATAATTTACTCTTCATTTGCCAGTTCTCGATTCACACACAATACTATCCCAAATAAGTGGCATATATATTGCATAGCTTTCTACCAAAAATTATCTTGATAATCATTATCTGGTTTCTAGTTCTTAATTCGATTACTTTGTCCACCCAGTTCTCTTCAAACAAAACCCCAACTTCAGCCTTACCTTCATTATTTGTTTGCTGGAAAAATTTGTACTTTTCATTCTGTCAATCGTTCTTGCGCCATTACACCAAAAATTATCTTGATAATCATTATCTGGTTTCTAGTTCTTAATTCGATTACTTTGTCCACCCAGTTCTCTTCAAACAAAACCCCAACTTCAGCCTTACCTTCATTATTTGTTTGCTGGAAAAATTTGTACTTTTCATTCCTGTCAATCGTTCTTGCGCCATTACCATTCCATCTGGTCTCTTGTATGCAACATCTATGTCTTCTACGCAATACGCACTCTTCCCCTCATGCTCCCAACATTCCATGTCGTAACCTTACTCTATTCCCCGTTAACTGGTTTTCTTCAATTATTAGATCGTTTATGGACGTCATGTTTCATTTAAACGAATCGTGTTTCGGCAAGTTTCCCTCATCCTTCTTTTTGTCGTAGGCGGATGAGGAGACTCACGGGGTATTTTGAACTGTACCGGGCCCATGCTTTGTTAATCATTAGGAAATTTTGTAGCAAGATTTTTATAATCGGATGCCCTTCTTGACAATAACCCCTTTTAGGTGGTTTTTACGCCCCATTGAGGAGACGGTTATCTAATTCTAGACTAAGACCACAGGGAACCTTTTAAATCTTCATTAGCCGCACTTCCCCACCACGATTAGGCTGAAGGTAGGATTTTTGGAGTTAATGCGATTAGCTTAAACGCAAAAATTTTGCGCTTGGCGTACTAACATTTAGGTAGCCATAGCTATCAGCAAAGTCAGTAGTGCAATAAAGCCCCGTTTAAACCAATAAATTTTGAGCTTGAAGTACCACATTTGGAGTAGCATACCTATCTGCAAAGCCAGTAATGCAAACCTCTAACTAGAAAAACCGCCTTCATGGCCACGGTCTCCTCTATGCCACGTAAGTAATATTATTTTTAAGTTATCAATTTAAATAAGTAAATATTTAAAATTAACAAATTATAATTTTATACCAATCGTTATCTCTTCCCTTGGACATATGTCAAGGAACTTTAAAATTTAAAAAAAATATAGGCGACAAAATAAGAACCCTTACATCAGAACCTAAAAGAATATTATTTTTTAAAACAAAATCTACAAATCACTATTTTAAAATATAATTATTCATGTTTTTTGGGAACTTGTAGTCCCACCTCCGTTTTTATAGAATAAGGTTTTATTTTATTTTATATTTGATATGTTAATTTTCTTATAATTTTATTTGATAGATTTTAATAAAGAAGTTCAAATGATTTTAAAAAAAAATTCATGAATGACTCAAAAATTTTTTATTTACATCCCATATAAAAAAAAAATCTTATCAGCTATATTTTATTTTAAACATTTGTATTTGTAATTTATTATCTACAAATATTAACCTTGAACAATAAAAAAATCGAAAATAATATATGAAACTATTTGCTTATTTTACAATGTCGATTTTTTTATTATTATCACAATTCATATTTATATAACATTCTACAACACATATATAACATTATGACATTAATAATTTCATACTTTGAATTAATACTTATCATTGCATTTGAGATCATTTTATGATTATCCAAAATTTGAAAATGAGATTTACCGCGTTATCAATATCGAAAATAAATCTTTAAATTAACTTAACATTATGATTTTAACATAAATAATATATTATTAAATATCATTTATAATTTTTTTAAATCAATCAATTCCAATTTCAAGTCTATATTTTCGGACAGGATAAAATCATAATTTTGTATTTTTTCCAATAACCTAGATGGAATCTTGTCACCATATGGTTCCCTTATTTATTTTATAAATGTAAAAATAAATATCATAGAGTGTGTTATTTAAATTAAATTATCATACTATACCTTGGTGGGTATTTTGTAAAATTTTGATGTATACTTTTCTCGTTCAATAATTTGTTGTTCATAAATAAATATTCACTTTGAAGACATTTTTCTCTATGGAGAGCTTCTTTCAGGGCTATTTTGGCGTTCAAAATAATTTTGCACTTTGCCTAAAATAAATAAATAATATTTATGAAAATAAAAATGAATAGTAAATTTTAAAACAGGTATATATATATATATATGTATATATCAGATACCTGCAGAGGTACTGCTTGCTTAGCCTGGCCCGAATTTTTTTTAATAAAAATTTTCGGCCCGGTCTGGGTTTTATATTTTCAGGCCCGCACAGATTTTTTCAAAATATATTTATTTTTAATTTTTATAGCTAATAATAGCGATTTAAAATATTTGGTTGTAAAATATACGGCTCGCCGAGTATTTTAAAAAAAATGTCCGGTTCGGGTATTTTATTAGACCCGTGTATTCAAAAGTTAAAATACGGCCTGTGCCGTGTACTCGGGTCGTCCGTGCCTGCAGGTCTCTAATACATATATATAGAAATATTATTCTATCATGTGGATTACCTTTAACGCTCGTTGCAACTCTTTGACAATCGATTCGTAATGCAATATCAAATCTTTGACCTTGTACGAATTATTCACATCATAATAAGGTTTATTAATCGCATCATGAGATGTTTCAGATTCGTATTTGATTCTTATATCATTCGTGGCAGGCGATTCATTGATAGTCACGTGGTAGTCTCCGTAACAATCGTCACTTTCGATGATGTCTATAGATAGGTTCCCCTTTTCTTGATCGTCGTGAGAAGGAGTCAAGTTTAATTTAGTTAGATCTTTAGACAATCTAAAATTTTGTATTTCCTGAGACAAACTCTCCACGTCTAAAACGTAATCGCAACATCGACGGTTAAGCCGATCATTCGTATCCTTTAGTAACTAATTTTATTTATTCATAATTATATATTCTGATAGTGTTTAAAAGATAAATAAATAAACCTCTCCAAAAATGAATCATACAATATTTTTTGAACTTTGTTATAAATTACTGGCACTTTTGTTAGAACCGGTTCCTGGAAATTTAAAAATGGGTTCAGATTTCTATTAATCAGAGATTCATCGATACAACCATTTTAGCCGATATAAAAACCGATATAAAAACCAAACATTATTTTTTCTTTTTTAAGTTCGACTAATTTGAGTTCGATCGATTAGATATGTCCGTAAATGTCCTTAATATAAAATATTAGGCCTACTCAAAAACGAATATGAGTCGAATATTTGATTATTCGTATTTGATTCTTTTGAATCAATCGAATAATTTGCTGTTTGTATTCGTATGAATAATAAAATATCTTAGATTAAGCTATAATTAAAAATAGATTATTCGATTCGTTTTTGAAGAGGCCTAAAATTTACCAGTGACCAGCAGGCCCGACCTTAAGTCCGGCCTGAATACACAGGCGGGCCGTATTTTAATTACTTTAAATATACCCGGGTCTAAAAATATAAAACACGGGCCGAAAAATTTTTTTAAAAAAAATCCGGGCCAGATAGTTGACGCAAACTATATACCTGCTGCTATATAAATTTTCCTCGAACTTTATCGAGTAATTTATTTGATATATTTATATAAAGTAATAATAAAGGAATATAGAAATGGAGGAAATATAAAAAATTAATTCATATTTGGTTTGGTTGGAATAATAGAATTTATTCCAAATAAATAACATTATTGAAATGGTTTATGTATTAATTATAGTTAAAGTAAAAAATTACCTAGATTAAATTAGCGAAACCCCGGTTAAATTTGATTTTGGGAAAACATTTCATGTTTCCAGTTAATAAAAGCCAATTGACCATATATTTCAGTCAAATATTAATTTTAAATATTATTATAATAAATCTTTGAATTCTTTCAATTCCGTTATAAATAACTTAATAAAAATTCTAGCAAATATTTACTTCAAAAAATTAGGTTTAAATAATAATAGGTTTGAGTAAAAACTTGCACTCCTAGTGTTATATTCAAATATATAAGGTATTATTACCTCTATTTTCTCAAGTAACTGGTTAATTGTATCCGAATCGCATGTTTGTACATGTGCGTCCTTTAAACTCGCTAAAACGCTATTAATTTGTGTCGATTTTGCCATTGGTAAATTACTCCTCGTAACATTTTCGGCCATTTTGGATTGATTAAAGTCAGGCGTATTCGTAGATCGAACGCGAGAATGAATATTTTCGCGATGATCGTCACCAAACGTCTGTGAATATTGATCAGATTTCTCGATAATTTTTTGATCCAATGAAGGGTTACATTTTTCGCTCAAAGTTTTGGCTAATTGATTCATATGATTTCTCATTTGATATATTATTTTTTTCAACAATGCGTTATCGTTGGGCAAGGTTTTAGTTGTTATGTTTGGTTGATCTATTCTCAATTCTTCGGTCTTAAATAAAATATTTTTTATATTTAAAATTATAAGGTTCTATGTTGAAATTGGATAAGGATTTTCTATCCTTATGAAGGTTAAAGACAGTATACCGAACCTGGAATTCCCCTCTACAACTTAACATTTTACAAAGTTTAATTTAATGTTTTTTTAAATATGTCAGTTAAGCCTATCTAATTTGGGCTATTGCTAATTTGTGCGACTCTTTAATTTGATTAAAATTTTGAGTCTCAATCAAGTTCCTACTAACTACTATTATAAAATGTTTTGATATATTGGACAACTGTCTACTTTAAAAAGTGGGCAGATTTTAATTTTTTTTTCTTATGCGTAAGTAAACCTCTATAAAGTAGGCATTTGTTAATTTTTTGTGTCATTCATTCATTTTGCATTATAAAATTTTATCATCTTTTAAAAAACTATTCATATCAACTAACAAAATTAATAAAGAAAACAAATATAACGAGCTATCGTTAATTTTAAAAATTTAGGTAATTAAAAATTTTAAATCATCATACCTAAAGAGAATGTGCTAAAAGTAGAGTTTGAAAACGAACCGCCAGACCGGAATGTACCGTTACGATTTTCTGCACCGTAACCATAACCGAACCGTTATAAAGAAAATATAAAAAAAGCGAACCGAACCGTTATAATTATCTTGAACCGGTTTTAAAAAATAATTAATTTTTAATTATTAACTTAAATTTGAAATCATAATTTTCCTTGGGGGTATTTTTTAAATTGGTGATTTTTTTTTCAAATTAAATATTTTTATATTATCAACATTATATATCAATTAATACCAAGTTTATTGGTTTTTTTCTTTAAATATTTAATTTATTAGAGATTAGGCAAATTATCTATTAATTAGATAAGATATCTTAAAATACACATAATTATTTTTGGCTAAATTAACAGGTTTTTATATAAGTTATTAATAAGCTTTTATAATAATACTTGCTAATAATTTAGGAAAAAATTATGTAATTCTTCTATTAATAACTAACATCTAATAGAAATCAAGTTTTACATTCATTTTTATATTATATGATTTATTTTTTTATCTCATAAAAACTTGTATCATAGAATTTAAATGAATAAATAAGGTCAGCAATATTTTAATGATATATAGTTTAACATCAAAATGTAATTTCTATTTTTAACTCAATGTAAGTCTATTTTATATAAAACCCATTAATAAATACAAGTATAAAAATAATTTAATGCAATGTTAGTTAACTTAATTAAACTAAAGATTTATAGTAAGATTTTAAACAGATTTAGAAGACTATTCATTACAAATGCCATTCTTTAATCATATTTTTTATTATGCACATATGGATAATGGTAAATGCTAACTATATTTTAATAAAAAAATAGTTTATAATTTCTTAAATGTATAACAGAATTCTGAATTTAAAAAAACTATATGATTATAAATAAAAAATTATACTGATCATTAAAATAAAATATTGCTGACCATTTTATTTATTGTCATTTAAATTCTATAATCCAAGTTATTTTAAAAAAATAAAAAAGAAGGTAAAATTGTTTCTATTAAGCTTTTTTATTTATTCTATTTATTATATAATAAAAGATTTTGATCTATTCATCATCATACAGCTTATTAGTATCTATATCTATTAAATGATTCGGGAAAAGTCAAATCCTGTGCGATCCTATTTTAAATTAGATATTATAAAAAATCAATCTATTTGCAAAATAGAAGATTATGGTAAAGTATTAACTGGGGACCATGCTGCAAATCTCGAACGACATATAGAAAGATTTCACAATAGGGAATTCAAATTATTAAGAAAAAAGAAAGAATATTTGACTATTAATAAACCTCAAATAACGAAAACTGCAAACCAGTATAATACAATCCAAAATGCTTTTAAGTCCAACACTACTACAATACAAATTAATATAAATAAAGAAACTTTAATCGGCTCCTGTACCGAGTTAATAACAGTTAATGGAAGACCAATAAAATCAATTGGCGACATAGCATTTCGGAATATTATAGATCCAATATTTATAGGATTAGGTGGAAATTTTACTATCAATTCGAAAATATACGCAATAATATTAAAAAAATGGCTTTTGATTTTTCGCAAAATATAAAAAAGGAAGTATACCAAAAACTTATTTCGATAAAATTAGATATAGCAACTAGATATGATAGGTCCATATTGGGGATCAATATTCAATTTATAAATAACGGAAAAATATAATTAAGGACTCTATGCATGAAAAAGAACGACACACATCAGAATATCTTAAATAAATTATTCTAGATGTTCTAAAAGAATATGAAATAAGAATTGAGCAGATTTACACAATAACCACAGATAATGCAGCAAATATGATTAAATTAATTAAGCTTTTAATACTACACGATGAAGAAGATGATAGCTTTAACCATTATTTAAATAATGATGATATAGATAATGATGATTTACATAATAATGATATAATTGATGATGAAAATAACGAACTTTTTAATATTGAAAATATTAATCTTTCACCAAATGCCAGATCCATATTAATGGGTATTAGATGTGCTTCACATGAATTTCAATTTGCAATTAATGTGCATTAAAAATTCAAATGAAATTCTCATTATAAATAAAGCTAGAAACATATGTAAAAAAATAAGAAATCAGATAATAACAGCTATTCTATCCAAATTAAATTTGAAAAAACCATTAATTGGTTGCAGAAGATGGAACTTTATCTATTTAATGTTGGAGAGATTACTAGAGTTAAAAAGCTTTTGCCAAGAAATATCGGTCCAAAGCGATCGCGAAAAATATTTATCAGAGAAGGAATGGAAAATAATTAGTGATATATTAAAAGCTTTATATCCTGCTTATATTTTGACAAAATGTATTCAAAGTGAACAATTAACAATGGGCGATTTTTATGCCGCATGGATCAAAAGTCTCATGTAAACGAATAAAGTCGACACTCCATTTGCCAGACTTTTAGTTTCTACGATAAAAGCACGAGAAATAAATTTCAAAAATGACGTTTTTTGCTCAGCTATTTATCTCGACCCAACATATAATGTTTTTTTAACATTTGAAGAAAGAGAGATCGCCAGAAAACATCTTTGTAAAACTTGGAACTTGATACAAAGTCTAAATAATCAGAATATTGAAATTCTAAATACTATGCCTACGTGTTCGCATTCGAAAGATAATTTATCTTATGATTTTGAAGATTTATTAAAGTTGCATGAAAGTTTTAATAAGAATAATTCTCAGGGCATAGAAAATTATAATAAATGTATAGAAATAGAATATATAATTCGGTCATTTGATAATATAGAGAGATTAGAAAAAGATACTAATCTTTTGAATTATTGGGAAAATATAATGAATAGTATGCCAGAACTTTATAAGTTAGCTGTAACTATGCTAGCAGTTCCAGCTACGCAGGTATCCGTAGAAAGAGCATTTTCTAGCCTTAAGTTTATACTCTCTGCGCATAGAACTAAATTAAATCTTGAAATATTAGAAAATATTTTAGTTATCCGTTCTAATTCTCTTTTGAGAAGATTAAATTTCTTTATTTATATTAATTTGTATTGTAGTAGTGTTGGACTTAATTTGGATTGTATTATACTGGTTTGCAGTTTTCGTTATTTGAGGTTTTTTAATAGTCAAATTTTCTTTCTTTTTTTTTAATAATTTGAATTCCCTATTGTGGAATCTTTCTATATGTCGCTCGAGATTTGCAGCATGGTCCCTAGTTAATACTTTACCACAATCTTCTATTTTGCAAATAGATTGATTTTTTATAATATCTAATTTAAAATAGGATCGCACAGGATTTGACTTTTCCCGAACCATTTAATAAATAGATATAGATACTAATAAGCTGTATGATGATGAATAGATGGTCAAAATCTTTTATTATATAATAAATAGAATAAATAAAAAAGCTTAATAGAAACAATTTAACCTTCTTTTTTATTTTTTTGAAATAACTTGGATTATAGAATTTAAATAACAATAAATAAAATGGTCAGCAATATTTTATTTTAATGATCAATACAATTTTTTATTTATAATCATATAGTTTTTTTAAATTCAGAATTCTGATATACATTTAAGTAATTAAAAAATTAATTTTTATTAAAATATAGTTAGCATTTACCATTATCCATATATACATAATAGAAAATATGATTAAAGAATGGCATTTGTAATGAATAGTCTTCTAAATATGTTTAAAATCTTACTATAAATCTTTAGTTTAATTAAGTTAACTAACATTGCATTAAATTATTTTTATACTTGTATTTATTTATAGGTTTTATATTAAATAGACGTTAAAAATTGAAATTACATTTTGATGTTAAACTAATAAAAATACTATAGTTTAACTTAAATTACCCATTCTGTCATATTCTATTAACATCTAATAGAAATAAAGTACTGACCAATTTTAATAAAATATTGTTTTGTAATTTCTTATTAATTAATATATTCAAAAAAAGTTTATCTTAATTTATATAGAATATGTCAGAGTGGGTAATTTAAGTTAAACTATACTATTTATATTTAGTTTAACATCAAAATTTTATTCCTATCACTGTAGGTTTATTAATATAAAACACATAAATAAATAAAATAAAAATAATTTAGTTAACTTATTTAAACTGAAGATTTATATTAAGATTTTTTATTATTTAAATATACAGATAGAAAAATATTCATTACAAAAGCCATTCTTTAATAATATTTTTTTTATTTTGCATATATGGATAATGGTAAATGCTAACTAACATTATTTTAATAATAAATAATTTATGACCTAAATGAATATCAGAATTCTGAATTTAAAAAACAATGATTATAAATAAAAAATTATTATATCATTAAAATATTGCTGACCATTTTATTTAGTGTCATTTAAATTCTATGATACAAGTTTTTGTGAGATAAAAAAATAAACCATATAATATAAAACTGAATGTAAAACTTGATTTCTATTAGATGTTAGTTATTAATAGTAGAATTATATAATTTTTTCCTAAATTATTAGCAAGTATTATTATAAAAGCCTATTAATAACTTATATATAAACCTTAATTTAGCCAAGAATAATTATGTATGATTTTAAGATATCTTATCAAATTAATAGATAATTTGCCTAATCTCTAATAAATTAAATATTTAAAGAAAAAAAACAATAAACTTGGTATTAATTGATATATAATGTAGATAATATAACCATATTTAATTTGAAAAAAAATCACCAATTTAAAAAATGCCCCCAAGGAAAATTATGATTTCAAATTTAGGTTAATAATTTATAATTAGTTATTTTTTAAAACCGTTTTGAACCGGTTTAAAATATTTATAACGATTCGGTTCGCTCTTTTTATATTTTCTTTATAAAGGTTCGGTTATGGTTACGGTTCAGAAAACCATAACGGTTCATTCTAATTTAGCGGTTCGGTTCAATTCGAAACCCTGTTTACATATATATAATTATAACTTTATTATCGTCGCTTTCGCTTAAACTTTTAGCTTATTGTAAAATCTTCGCTATAAGAAAATAAGTAAAAAGTTTTCAGGCTTTTAAAGTGATCTCCTGGTGGAGATTCTTTAAATTGAAATTTCAGATTTTTAAAAAAAAAATAACGATCAAAATACTTTACATTTAAAATTGCGGATAAAAAATTATCCGAATTATCGAATACAGTATTCAAAAATTTGGCAGATTTAAGGCTCTTCGATACAGGTTCGTCATCTTGGTCGTGCGACGTTAAAGATAAATTATTCGAAGATGATAGAACATATGGTTTTTCTGCCCGTAAAAACTTTCCGAGCGATTTTTCCTTTATATACCGTTTGTTAGTGGTAAAAGAATTCCGCTTTTTAAATGTTGGAGTTGTACCTTTCCCCTCGGCAATTTTATTGAGTTGTCTTTCTGGTCGAATGGTCGCTGATTTTGGGGGATTCGATTCTGTAGTTGGCATTGCACTAAATTAGTCAGATAATATGTTTTTTATAAGGGCAAATCGTAAAAATTAACTTTTGTAAAAAATAAATAAATATTTTAAAAATGGGTTATGAGTGGGAAATCTAAGTAACCTTTTAAAATGTTCCTTGGTAAAATGGTTAGAATTCTTTTGTTTTCGGTATCTGGCAATGATGGCGTTGAGTCTGATAATAGTAGATTCACGAGCCGCCAATTTATTCTTAAGGCCCACGCTTTCGTTGAACAGCTTTGTTTGATGTGAGCGAGTTCTGAGTAATTTGGATTGAGCCTGACACACTGATTTATCTAACAATTCGACGCGTTTTTGAAGCTTTTATCGAAACACATTTTATCAATATATAAATAAAAGGTTTTAAAAAAAAAATAATGTTGTAAACGAACGCGTTCAATCAAAAAAATGACTAATGACCTCACTTTTAATTCTGACCCTTTTTTTTACGTTCATTCAATTTTAGAAGATCTTCTTATTTTTAATTATTTAAAATAAAAAATAATAATTTTTTCGACTCAGACTCAAACATCGGGTCGTTTTTTGCAACTTCATCCTAAAATTGTGGTCGTTTTATTCGACCCGACCCAATATGAGTCGTTTTTTAAGACCAGTTGCTTTTTCCCACCTTGCCCATATCTAGATCATTTTTTTTCGACCAAAAGCCGATTAAGGTTGACTCCAATAAATATATAAATATAATAATAACATTTAGTAGATATTAATATTATGGGCGGGAAAGTTGCTTAATACTTCTTTTAAAATGATAATGCTCTGACTCACTACATAATCTTAACTTTTTTTAAATTTTTTTTGACACAAATTAGTAAAAATATAAATTGTAAACATGTTAAATTAAAATTTCAGTTAAGATGTACCATAGAAAAGTGACAATTGTCATAATCGTTATTTTTAAATTTTTTTCAAAGCAAATAATTAAAATTTCAGTGAATGTACCATAGAAAAGTGACAATTGTCATAATCGTTATTTTTAAACTTTTTTGAATTTTTTCAAAGCAAATAAGTAAAAATATAAATTTGTAAATGTTAAATTAAAATTTAAGTGAAGATGACTCATAGAAAAGTGATAATTGTAATAATAAATTTATTTGAAGCTAGGTATAAGTGTATATTGCAAACATTTAAGATCAAAATTTCAGGGAAGATGACCCATAGAAAAGTGACAATTGTAATAATCATTAATATTATACTTTTTTGAATGTATTTGAAGCAAGTAGGTAAAAATTTATACTGTAAACTTGTTACTTAAAATTATCAGTGATGAAGAACCAAGGAAAAGTGATAATAGCCTCTAAAATCTTTGATACATTTATTAAATATACTTTATATTTAACAATATATATACATATAAAAATCTTGTGTTCATAATATTGGTATTCCATGAATTTAAACACAAACATTTTCTAAGCGTTTCTGACATGCGATTTCTATTTTTCGTAATGGTGTCTACCTCTCTAGAGAAGACACGCTCGCTGTTGTGTATGAAAATGCTTAGCCATTATGGAAGGTAGGGAAAACGCACTGAATTACATCTCCACCAATTCAACACTTTCATCGAGGCTCAGACGACTGGATCAGCTAGGTATTCCGCGATCTCGTCAACCATCGGAACTAACGATGCTTTCCTAAAAATATATAATGAATTTTTTTTTAAAATTATATATATCTACTATATGGGAACATTAAAATAGTTGTAATATAATGAAAAAATATATATACTTTCTCAGACTATTTAAAATAAGTGACGATATCAAAATCAATTTTAAATTATCAATCTTCTCTGGTATTTTAGCCGCCTGATTATAACTGTATTTACGGCATAAGACGATTAACTTTTCATAGTAAGATACTTTATTAATCGATAACGGTATATAAGTTTTCTTGATAGGTGGAAATAAAAAACTACATAAATATTCGAAATTGTCCATAATATTTTTGGCATTAAGCCAACATAAGTTGTGCTACCTCAATAATTACACTATTAATGTTTATTTCAATATTTGATACCAAGAATGCTTGCAATTGTATCAAGATATAATCGATATTAACCTCTTGTTGATGAATTGACACTAATTTCACATGTAATTTTATAAAATGGGTATAAAAATTCTTCAATATCTTTTAACAATTTGACTCTTCGGTATTAACATAAAAATTGTCATTAATACACCGTTTGCCCAATTTTATAATGGCTTTTATATTTTATAGAATCAAACATTAAAAAAAAATATATATTATATGCTGTTTACTATTGATTTTGGTGAGCATAAGATATTTTGAATTCCATCTCATGGGCACATCTAGCGGAATTTTACAATTTCTGATATTGACAAAACCCTGCATCAAAGAAGGTCTTTTATGGACTTTTTTCACCAACAACTCAACCTTTTTCAATTCTATTGAGATAGTTGATAGTCCTACTTGTACGATTAGATTTATAATATGAGCCAGACATCGTATTATATTAAAATTTGCTTTATAGGTTACACGAATTAGCGGAATAATTTTGTCCCCGCCGAAACAATATTTGATCCATTATCATGGGTAATGGAGGATATTTTATCAAATATTTTATACTCCACCAGTTATTAATTCTTTAAAATTCTCACCCGTGTGATGGTGGGCAAATTCCGCAATTGATAATAAGGAGTTGGCTAAATCCCAGTTATCGTTGATATAATGGACCGTTATGGCGCAATAACTAATTAAATTGTTGCTGGTCCATATGTCCGTAGTTGTTGCCTTCTTGTTATTATAATTATCGAAGGCATTCATAATATTAGTTTTTGCCTAGTTAAATATGGTATTTAAATATTTCACAGCTGTTTGTCGGCACCATATTTTAGAGCTTTTATTTAAAAAAGTAAAGATGTCTTTAAAATCTTTACTGTCAAATGTTCGAAGTGAAATATTTTCGTTGATAACATATTTCAGTATTAATTTATTTAGGTGAAAATTATCCTCCGTTGCAAGTTTTCGTGTGCTAATCCATATGTACTGCTATCTTAGGTAACCGATTTAAAAATTAAAAATTTAAATTTATAATAGTTAGTGAATAATGCTACCGAGATACTAAATTTTAAAATAATCGAAAGGGAGTCGGGTTAAGAATCAAATTTCTTTTGGTTGATTTAATAATATATATAATATATTTTAGCCAATTTGCGCAAACATCTTGTAGCCAAACATTGAAGCAGTTAATGATTCACCACCTTTGCCAGATTCCATTATAGGGGCATGAAAACTTTCAACGGGGGATATTTTTCATCTAAATAAATTAATACTAAAATATGTCATCAACGAAAATATTTCCTTTAGAACATATGATAGTAAAGATTTTAAAGACATCTTTACCTTTTTAAATAAAAGTTCTAAAGTATGGTGCAGACAAACTGCTGTCAAATATTTAAACACCATATATATCGAGGCAAAAACTAATATTATGAATGCCTTCGATAATTATAAATACAAGATGGCCATAACTACGGTCGTATGGAGCAGTAACAATTTGATTAGTTATTGTGCCATAACGGTCCATTATATCAACGATAATTGGGATTTAGCCAACTCCTTATTATCAATGAGGAATTTGCCCACCCTCACACGGGTGAGGATGTTAAAGATTTAATAATAACAATACTGGCCGAGTATAAATTAATTGATAAAATATCCTCCATTACCCATGATAATGGATCAAATATTGTTTCCGCGGGGAAACAAATTATTCCTCTAATTCGTGAGACCTATAACACGAATTTTAACACAATACGATGTCTTGCTCATATTATCAATCTTATCGTACAAGAAGAACTTTCAACGATTTTAACAGAATTGGAAAAAGTTGAGTTGTTGGTCAAAAAAATGCATAAAAATCCATCTTTGATGCAAGATTTTGTTAATATTTGTAATTGTAAAATTTCGCTAGATGTGTCAACTAGATGGAATTCAAAATATCTCATGCTTAACAAAATCAATAAGGTATTAATAGCATATAATATTTAATTTTTTTAAATGTTTGATTCTATAGAATATAGATGCCATTATCAAATTGGGCAAACGATGTATGAATGATAATTTCCACATTAATACTGAAGTGGTCAAGTTGTTTAAAGATATTGAAGATTTTTTGCACATTTTTTATAAAATTACATATTGTGAAATCAGTGCAAATTCATCAACAATAGGCTTGTATCTATTATATTTAGATACAATGCAAACATTGTTGAATAGTGTCATTGCTGAAGCTGCAAGACTTATGTTGATTAAATGCCAAAAATATATTAACATTATGGATAATTTTGAATTATGCAGTTTTTTAGATCCTCGGATCAAGAAAACTTTTACACCCTTATATGGATGAATAAACGAAAAGTTAATCGTTTTATAAGGTACCGTTACAATCTGGTCCCCGAAAAATCAGAGAAAGATATGTAGTTTAGAATTGAAGTCGACAACTATTTTAAATAGTCTGAGAAGGTGTATGTATATTTTTCATTACAATAATTTTAAATGTTCTCATTGAGTTGATATATTTCATTTTAAAAAAATTTTTATTATATATTTTTAGGAAGGCATTCCTAGTTCCGATGGTTGACGAGATCGCGGATTACCTAGCTGATCCAGTCGCCTCAGCCTCGATTATACTGTTGGATTGGTGGCGAAGTAATTCCATGCGTTTTTCCTACCATTCCATAATGGCTAAGGATGTTTTATCGCAAAAGAGCACATCTGTTTCGAGCGAGCGTGTCTTCTCGAGAGGGGTGGACACCTATGAAAAAAAGAAATCGCATGGCGTCAGAAACGCTTAAACAATGTTTATGTTTAAATTCATGGAATAAGAATATTATGAATAATAATTTTGGACATAATTTTTGGGTTATTCCATGTCAAATGAGCAAAAAAATCAAGATTTTCGGCCGACCCCTTTCAATTCCGATAAAAAGTTGTAGACTGGTTATATATGTTCCCATTAGATTATAAACAAAATTTTAGAGCATTAGCAACTATATTAGCGGAGATAATCGGGGTTAAAGGTCCAAAAAACGTCTTTTTTTGCTTTTTACTGATGTCAAATAATTAGTTTTTAATTTAAAACTAAATATGATCAAATATTGAATCTAATATCAATAGCTAAGTTAATAATTGAGAATTATGGCTAAAACATCAAAATTAATTTTTGATAAAATATGGGTCATCTTATGGTCAGTTGAAAACTTGAAATTAATATTTAGAAATGTATATGATCTCCGATTTTTAATTTTTTTAAGAAATATTATCCGTTTACTATTTTTTTAATAATTTCTTCAACAATTAGCATGGCTGGATATTTATTTAAAAAATATTGCGATTTTTATACTTTAAAAAAATAGATGGCGCTATATATAATAGTTATAATATGTTAAAATTCATTTTTCTTATTGATTAAAAATATTTTAATGTATAATATATCATAAAATTCTATTATATAACTTTGTAAACCTTATTCCCCTGAGATATTCGGAGGATATAAAATTTTAATAATTTTTTTAATATTTCAATGTAAATTAAAAATAATTAAAAAATCCGACTAGCACACTAACAAAAAAGCAGGATTAAAGGTGTGCAGGAAAATTATTAAGGGAAAAATCGAAAATCACATTAATTACCAGGCCTACCCCCAACCCTCCACCCCCCAGACTAAGTCATACCCATCAAGATCAAGAATGTTATGAAATTGTCATTATCTTAAATTATTAAAATAACCAGAGATAAAGAAAATTTCGAAGATTTTGAAAAAAATTTTAAGCAATAAAAATAAACAAAATTATAGTTCTGATGAAATAAGCCGACTCATGCCTGGAATAAAAGATTGTGATCTGTTAAAGGCGAGAAAGAATCAGTCCAAAGACTTATATTAAATAAGCTTAAATAAATATTCAAGATGTTTAAGGAAGAATACCCAAATATATCAATTGGATTCTCTAAATTTGCCGAACTTAGACCAAAAAACTGTATTTTAGTTGGAGCTAGTGGCACACACACTGTTTGTGTTTGCGCCATTCATCAGAATGTGAAATTAATGACAAATGTAGAAAAATTTAAAAGATGGGGAATTTTTAACAATTCTAGATTATTCTGAGAATTATTCCTTCATTTTACAAGATGAAGTTCAGGGATTTCATTGGAACAACGTGCAGGCCACTATACATCCATTTGTAGCATATAAATCTGGAGAAGAATTAAAAAATATAAATTTTGTTATTTTATCCAAATTTAATTCTAAACCAGAAAAAATAATATATTTTTCAGATGAAGCCGCGTCTCAATACAAGAATCGCAAAATTTTTTTGAACATATGCCTTCATAAATACGATTTTAATATTCCTGCCGAATGGCATTTCTTTGCCACTGCTCACGGCAAAAATGCAAGTGACGGTATCGGAGGAACTATCAAAAGATTAGTTGCCAGAGCTAGTCTTCAAAGGCCAAATAAAAATCAAATCCTAACCTCATTAGAATTATATAATTATGCTAAAGAAAATATTAATGGAATTCAATTTGAATATGTATCCAATCAAGAATATATCGAAGAGGAATTAGCCCTTCGTAAAAGATTTAATGCACTGCTTATACATGGGACCCAAAAAAATCACGGGGTTATTCCCATTGATCAAAATAGACTAAAAACCAAAATATATTCCAATTCCAAAAAATATAATATAAAACAAGTTTAGTTTTTAAATGAGAAAATTAATTTTTAAAATATTAATGGATATATAACAGGTGTATATGGTGATAAATGGTGGTTAGGATATATAATCGATAAAAATGATATAAATGAAGAAGTAAAAATCCGATTTTTACAGCCTTGTGGACCTTCAGCCTCATTTAAATTTCCTCTGAAAGATGATATTTTTGTGTTGCCTAAATCTCATATTCTCTCGCTGGTCAATCCTTCTACTCCCACCAGTCAAACATATATATTATCTCCTGAAGAAATCTCACAAGCTAGCCGGGCTTTGTATTCCTTTAGATGAAGTAAGATTTAATTAATTTATAACTATCTTAATTAGGCTAAATTTGTGAAGATTTTAAAAATTTATGATCTGAATTACAAATAAATATATATAATGGACATTGTAATCGATTTAGTATGATATATATATACATTAAAATATTTTTAATCAATAAAAAAAATGAATTTTAACATATTAAAACTATTATATATAGCGCCATCTATTTTTTTAAAAGTATAAAAATCGCAATATTTTTTAAAATAAATATCCAGCCATGCTAATTGTTGAAGAAATTATTAAAAAAATAGTAAACGGATAATATTTCTTAAAAAAATTAAAAATCGGAGATTATATACATTTCGAAATATTAATTTCAAGTTTTCAACTGACCATAAGATGACCCATATTTTATCAAAAATTAATTTTGATGTTTTCGCCATAATCATCAATTATTAACTTAGCTATTGATATTATATTCAATATTTGATCATATTTAGTTTAAAATTAAAAACTAGTTATTTAACATCAGTAAAAAGCAAAAAAAGACGTTTTTTAGACCTTTAACCCCGAATATCTCCGCTAATATAGTTGCCAATCCGCTAAAATTTTGTTTATAATCTAATGGGAACATATATAACCAGCCTACGATTTTTCATCGAAATCGAAAGGGGTCGGCCGAAAAGTGATTGATTTGACATGGAATGACCTTTTTATATGATATATATATACTGTTAAATATAAATTTTTATAAATTAATAAGTATCATATATAATTTAAATAAAAATATTTAAAATATAAATGTATCCAAGATTTTTAGAGGCTATTATCACTTTTCCATGGTTCTCCATCACTGCAATATTTATTTAACATATTTGCAGTATATTTTTTTACCTATTTCCTTCAAATAAATTCAAAAAAGTTTTATAATTATTATGATTATTGTCACTTTTCTATGGGTCATCTTCACTGAAATTTTAATTTAAACATGTTTACAATATATATTTTTACCTATTTGCTTTGAAAAAATTTAAAAAAGTTCAAAAATAACTTTTGACAATTGTCGCTTTTCCATGGTACAACTTCACTGAAATATTTATAATATATATTTTTTACCTATTTGCTTTGAAAAAATTCAAAAAAGTTCAAAAATAGATTATGACAATTGTCACTTTTCCTTGATACATCTTTACTGAAATTTTAATTAAACATGTTTACAATTTATATTTTTACTAATTTGTGTCAAAAAAGTTTTAAAAAAACGATGACAAATTCCCACTCCATTAATAAGATTATAAAGTGAGTCAGAGCATTGGAATTAAAAGAAGCTTTAATTAACCTTCTCGCCCATAATATTAATGTTATTATTATATTCATATATTTATTGGAGTCAACCCTAGTCGGCTTTTAGTCAAAAAAAATGATCTAGATATTGGATCAGTTGAAAAAAAGCAACCCAAACCTTAGGTCGTCTTTTAAAAAAACGACTCATATTTTGGGTCGGGTCGAATAAAACGACCACAACTTTGGAATGAAGTCGTAAAAACCACCCGATGTTTGAATCTGAGTCGAAAAAAGACCTAAACATCGAGTTGGAGTCGAATAAACGATCCAAACTTTGAGTCGGAGTAAAATAACGATCCATATTTTGGGTCTAGGTCATTTTTCGGCTTGGTCTCGGGTCGGAATCGAAAAAACGACCCAAAATTTAGGTCAGCTCTGTTCGAGCCAACTCGGCTAAGCCGATTAACAACAATGGTTGAACAATAACGCGTTCAATTTCTTTGGAAATGTTTACAATATTAAAATTAACTGATTAAAAGTGTGATGATATTATATCCAGAAAATCTATAAAAATTTTAGAGTGCAGTAAAAACAACTAGAACTAAAATAAATAACAATACTGATACTGAATTTTATTTAATTCTTAAAAATGACCCTATTTATCTATGTATAAAACCATATATAAAAACCTTATAATTTTCACTCATAATTTTTCCTTCCTTAAATTTCTCGTTCCCGATTAATACGGTTTCTTGTTCCTTCACCAAGTTTTGCAAATCCATCAGCTTGTCGTCATGTTGCAGGTTAAGATTTTTGATATGCTCTTTAATTATCTTATATAATAAATATATTTTTAATTATCAACCATTTGTAAATTTGTTTTCTTTTACATCAAATAAGGCATGCCAGATTTTTAACCATTTGTATTTAGGTCGAAATTTAAGTATATATTTCAAAATATAACATTCGTTGAATTTTTTTGTTACTCCAGAAAATGATATGGATCCATAAAATCTAATATATCAATCGGCTAAGTCGAATTAGAAATTTAACCCTCAGACCTGCATGGCACCGCATTTAAAAATAAAATCATAACGTGTGGAGTCAAACAATTTGCATTGGGGTGCAAGAACTCCCTATGAGATTAATTGAAAAAAAAGAAGAAATCCTTATGTCATTCTAAATATTCCGTTTTAAAAGATAAGTATATTTATTTGTTACATTTTTTTTATATAATATAATATTAAATTTATATATAATTAAAAAACTAGGAAGGGATTTATAGTGCATTCCCCCTTGTTATTCTAATCTGGGTAACTAGGTTTCAGAACGTGGTGGAGACCATCGCAGTAAATAAATGACTTAAATGAATAGGCTTTAAAAAATAATACTCAGGCCGGGCCAAAAATATTATTTTTTAAAATCCGGAGTCTTGAAAATATAGTTTCCTTAAATTTAAGCAGTAAAATTTTAGCTTAAAAAATTAAATGATTTGTAAATAACATTGCGATGCAAGATTAGAGATCGCCCGCTATTGTTTTAAAATAAGCACGCCCATGGTTTATATAAAAGTTCACCCACCACCACCATTATTAAATAAAAAAATTAATATTTAAAAAATAGTAACCAGTCCAGCTTAATCCTAACCCCTTCCCCTCAAAAATCCAATATTATAAAATTCATGGTTCAGATTATTGACCCAGATCACCCATTTCTAAAAATTATGATTAGTCGATTTGGCTATATATTTAATATAGTACTTTAATATATTTTTACTCATAACTTATAAAAAATGCAATATCATTAAATAAAAAATTAATATTTTAAAAATATTAACCAGTCCAGCTCAATCTCCCCCCCCCTCCCCCACAAAAATCCAAAATTAGAAAATCTACCGTTTATACTATTGTTTGAAAATATTTCTAACCTGCCCGCTTAAAGTACATTTTTTTCTAACCCGCCCGTGTAGTTCTTTAGTGCAAATATCGTATTATTCAATATTTTTAAAGTTTATTTATAAGCTTTTAATTTATAATACCAAGATCTATAAAATAAAATTTCCTTACTACTTCTCCAATTTTTTAGGTTCTCTAAAAAAAATGGATAGGATCTTTGAAAATAATTATCGGATCAAATCGGACCTAAAAAATAGGTTTGAAGGCTCTCTAATATAGGGGTTTAATTTTTTTAGTATATATTTAATTTTATATGAAGTAATCAACAAAAGAAAACTATTTTTGAAATTAAATATAAACAAAACCTGAGTATTTAAATGAAAATCATTAAAAACGCCATCTACCGGAAATATATATAATTTTTTTTATTGATAATTAACCACCACGATCTATCGTGTCAACTAGGTGACCGTAAATTGTTGGCTCAGAATTATTTATCCAGTGTAAACATTTAGTAATGTTTTTTATTTAGTCTTAGGTTATTTGATCAATTTGGCAATTTAATATAAAGTTTCTTTATTAATATTTGGTTTTTTATCCCCCATTGTTATCGTAATGGGTAGTATTACACGGAATTATGACATTGCGATATTTTCGCATAGCCTCAAAAAATTCGATCCGTCGTTCGCGACACCAATTTTTTAATTGTAAAAGAAAAATGATAAGAAAATTTTTGTAGAATTGATCGGAGAGGGATAAATTTAGGAATATCGCCGCTGATGGCGATGTCCTTTTAATAATTTGCTATTATATTCATTTTTTTCTTCTTTTTATGCTTGTAAAAATAAATTAAAACATTAAAAAATCCATGAATATTAAACTAATAATCTTTACAATTTCTTTTTACAATCCGCTCTTTGGGAATTAATACATCTGTTAAAATAAATTATTTTAATATAAAAAATTGGAAACAGTAAGGTAACATAAAAAGAAAACAATTTGGCAATCCACAGATTATTTGTAATTCAATCATTTAAATGCATGACTGTATATATAACTCATAAATATGATACGGTTTCATCACCAATATCAGATACCATTAAATTTTAATTATAATTATGAAATTATTCTTCAATTAAAATTTAAACATTAACATTTAAATTTACTTCAAGTTCCTGACGAGATTCCATAGAGATTTTGGTTTTAATAGTCAATTCTTCTTTCAGAATTTCATTTTCATGTTTTATACCCAATAATCTTTCATAATCCCCACGTAATTTGGCCATTTCTTTAGCCACTCTTAATTCCTGGCTATTATATTATAGGAAATATATAAAATAAAATAGTTTTAATATAAAACTAATCACTAACTTTCTATGAAGAGATATCAATTCTTCCTTTTCTTTAGCAAAGTTCTCCAAATTCCTCATAACCTCGAGTTTCAACTCGGACGTTGTGTTGTTAAGTCTGCTAATTCTGTTTTCTAATTCTATTCTTTGGTTTGCGCCCTTTTAATTACAAAATATATATTATTTAATTATACCTGGAATAATGAGTTTTTTTAAAAAAAGAATTGAATTACCAAAAAACTTCCATTATGATTTTCTACGGGATTGTTTACGTGACTAGAAGGATCTGATACGGCACTATTATTGGCATCTATAGTTTCTTTACTGTGATTATAGGGGTTGTTCTGCGATTGAGGCTATATCAATATTTAAAATAATAATTAAATTGGGCCAGATTTAATTGATCAGGTGTCACCTTAAGAAGGATTGATATATCGACATTAACTAATCATTAATATTTTGGGTAATTGCTTAAAATCTGGAAAATTCGGCTATCCATAGGCATGTGCCGTATAAAATTTGTTAAACATTGGGATTCGAGTTAATATATATCTCTATATTCAAAATGGAGCTATATTTTTCAAAAAAAAAGGAAAGCTGATTGATCGAATAAAATTTGGCCAAAACCAAGAACCTCCACTATAAATCAAATAAAATGTAAAATAATGTAATATAATATTTATGATCTCGTCATTTATAACACATTACATCGCCCAATTTTAGATGGTTAATGTTTATTTACTATACGTATAAAAAAAATTAATAGAAAATTTTAAAAATAAAAAGAATTCAGAACTTAAAATAATATCAATGCGATATAACTGGTTAAAAATGAGTTAAATACCCATCTCTCTCCTTGATCCTGCATTCTTAGTTTTTCCCATATACTATTTATGGTTTAAAAGAAAATAACATGCTTTTGGAGATTTTTTAAAATATAATTACAAATTAAAGATGAAGAAAAATCTTAATCCTAATAAATTCTAGGCCTAATCATTTTTTTAGATATTGGGTCCAATGGGGCTCAAATCCAATGAAATACTTTTAGGCAAGTCGCGGGGTTTTCAGATCTCTAAAAGAAAGAGATACAAATCAATCAATCAAATTATTAATATAATACTTTATTTATAAGTAGATCGGAATTTTCGGAATTAATTATATCGTTAATATTCAAGAGCTTACGCAATCTAGCTAGCTCTTCGTCTTTTGTCTTGTTCATTTGGGTATAATAGAAAACGTTGTCCTAAAAAAACATTTAAATAATAAATAAAAATTTTGAATGAATAATGCTATATTACCTGTAAAAGAGTATTATTTTTTTTCAAATCTTCGATCGTTTCATTTCCTACCACATTCGGCAATGATTCGTTGATATAACTCTTTGTATAAAAAGATCATTTAATAATATTTTTTTGGCAACGGTTGGAAACCAATTATAAAAACTAAAAAAATGTTAGTTAATTACTTTTTGAATGTGCTTGCTCAAGGCGTCCCTAAAATGACACAAAACTTCGATTTGTTTTTTGAGTCCAGTTTCTCCTACAAGCAAGGCCGTATTAATTATGCTAGGATGTTTCAATTTTCGCAAAATTTCGTCCAAGTTCAGTTTAGTAGTAAAATCGGGATTTCGAGCACAGTATCCGCTTAGTTCCAACGTCTTTTGAAGCAATTTCAAGTCACTCATATGGATGCGGAGACGAGAATTCTCCGTTTTTACCCTGGTAAGATCATCTATTGTGTGTATATCATATTATCTACTAAGACTAATAAAATGGGTAAAAAAAGATAGAACAGATTATTATCATCATTTTCATAAGTCTGAAGTGGGCTAGGTTTAGTTTTAACTAATATCAGTTGTGTGAAAAAAATAGTAAAAAAGAAAGCTAGCTAAAATTAGAAAATAAAATCATTTACCTCCTTCACCATCTGTTCGCATTTCAGCACGCAATGTGTCAATTTCCTTACGCGCTAACTTAAGCTTTGTTCGCCAGTAATTGCATCGCAAACGGTCGCTACTGATTTTGGGACCTGCGGTTTTATCGTTCACGGTTGCATATAATAAAAAATAAGTGGTGTTAAAAATTATAAATATTAATAAAAAATAACACGCTTACTAAATTATTAATAAAGAAAATGGCTGTGAAGAATGGTTATCATTATTTATGTTTATATTAATTTAAAACAGAATTTGAAATGCTCTTCAAATTAATATTATCTCTGAATATATTTGTAAATGTTTCAAAGAGCCATTTTTGATATTTTTTTGTAAGTAAATCCTTTGTGATTTTTATGTATTTAAAACTATCATTACGTAATATTATATATATATATACCACGATTAATCTATTAAGCAAGAAAAAAATAGGTTTCAAAACCTTCATCGCATTCCCTCCGTAACGGTGAGAAAACGGTCATACTCATTTGTCCCTCAACCAAACGTTCCCACAAACCGGATATCAATGATGTTACACGGAGTTCCACATTCTTAGAGATGTCATCTTTATCTTCCATCAAGGCCCGCAACTCGTCGCATCGCAATTTAGAGGCCTCTAGCCGTGCCACGAGATGCGCCACTTTCCCCCCAGCTTCAAAGTCGCCTTGTTCAAGTCTACCCTCTTATCGGGTAAAATATAAATTACATAATTATCATATATAAAATAAAAAAGGGTGAAAACTTTTTTCTTCTCTAATTCTTCAAAATTTATTGTTGATCTAAAGCAGACCTGCAGGTAAGAATAATTTTAAAAAATCCGGGCCCGTTTAAAAAAACCGGGTTAGGCAAAAAATTCGAACTGACCTTAAAAATTAGAAGTAAAAAAAATTAAATTTGTATGCGCTTTTTGGATGTAAAGTGATTGTTCCATGAAATGAACGGGATATATTAATAAACAAATTTTCTTTAGTAGGAATATATGTGATTGATAGAGGTTTTAGCAAATTTTAAAAATTTCAATCATTTCTAACAGTTTGTAATGCTCTTCAAAATAAAAATTCTAAAGATATTTTTTTTGCTGACTTACCCAGCTGAGATCGAACAGATTTGAACAATCTTTCCCAACGATCTTTAGATTGCTTGACTAGAGCCAGTTCTTTCTTCAATTCCACCGCGTAGCCATTAGTATCAAAAAAACCCGTTTTGTGATAACTTTAAAAAATTAACGTTTGATATAAAGATGGAGACATTTTAAATAAAATGATAAAAATCCATCCATCTCCATTTAATATAAATGTGAAATAACTCAATAAATTTTGCGTATGGTTAAATTATCTAAATTTTGTTTGGGAAATTTCGCTGGCAATTTCGTATCCAGAATAACTAATGGCTATAATCAAGACTTCGAAAGGAATTCCCAAAGTGTCGATAACAAATACACTTTCTTACAGCCACTACATTAAGTATAGTATATTAGTTAATAGCTGTTGCAATATGGGCCTTTTAAGCTGAGGAATAATTTTATTCCCAAATGATTTGCTATAGAGAACAAGATATTATAAAAAACATCATCATTCATTTGTAGTTTCAAAATTACAAAATTTACAGGTTGTATAAATAATTTTCCGGGCTTATTTTAAAGGTATTTAAAAATTTTTTTTTAATTTCGTTAGATTATTCCTTCCTTTCCGAAAGGTAATTTATAATTTCCCGTAAGACTCCGTTATTTGTACCCCACTTACTTTTCAAAAATGGCGTTCACGATAGCAAGTGGTATGGAATTTTGTAGGCATTCCATCAGAAATTTGTTCAAACGACTAGCCTTTTCGATATTTATTCGTATTTCATCATCGAATCCATTATGCTGTAAGATATTTTTATTTTTTGTAAAAAATAAATTATTTTAAAATTTTATCGCTAGGATTATTATTAAACCATAAACTATTTTTATCATAAGTAAAACTCTGAATTAACATTTCTCTATTTAATGTTTTCCGGCTTTCAACCGTTTAAAAATCATGGTTGCATAAATTTTGCATAATTAAAAATATTCCTTAGTAGTTTTAATGTTTTTCTACACTTTGACGTTTTATTTGTGTTCACTTGAGAAATAATGTTAAATCGGAGCTTTACTATGTATAAAATATAATAGTTTAATTATTCCTATTTTAGGTAGAAATTGGGTTTGGGTCAGTTGTTAAATAGTGCAATTTATTAAAAACGGCTAACCCAATATTTTAGCCAAAAAAATATTACGCAAGCATAGAGATTTTTTTGCTCATAGATGGCAGAAAGGAAGACATCTATTAAAGAAATCTCGAGGCTCACTAATTTAAAATATTGGCTCCAAGAGATTTAACTAGATTATATGGTGCACACTAAAGCTGGGCGCGACGGACAAGTTGCGCAAAATATTTTTTTATAGGCCGGGCCATTATTTCGCAAATTTTTTTTTAAAGCTAAGAATAGGACTAATTCATGTCTTTTTCCTTCATAAAAAAATTATTAAGAGCTAGGCCAGATCAGATAACTAGTAAAAAAAAAACTATTTCGGCCGAGCCGGGCATAAACATTTACGGGCAGTACCGAATTTTTAAATTTTCAACGGTCTCCTCTCTCTAACTTTACATTCAATCTCACATATTAATTTTATAAACCATAAAAGCAATTATATTAGACTTTTTAACTCGATAAGCTCGACGTTTGTTTAATTTTCAAATTGGGCTCATGTAATGTATCGTCGAGCGACTAACTGCCTGCATCAGATAAAAATGCAAAAATGGGTGTAAAAAAAATATTTTACCTTAAATATTGCATCGATGGCCAGAATCTCGAGGAATTCGTTTTTCTTTTCAACTATTTCCAAAGTCGCAAAATCCTTTTGGGCAAAGCTTTCACCGTCACCTTGAAACTTGGCGTCATTAGAAGAAACGTCTTTGGTGAAGGTGCCGATCAAATTATATAGTTTTAATAAGGTGCGCTTCAGGTCTGAGATTTCGGTGGAAGCAAACTATTTATTTTTTTGGTGGTTGAAATATTCCGTAATATAGAAAATAAATTTAGAATATCTTACATCAAGGTGAATGCTAGATAAAATTTCAATGGAGTCTTTTAATCTCTGTAAACATTCGGTCAACTGAGGTGGAGTGATATTGATTTTTTCTTTGCCTTCTAAATTCGGTAATCTTGCATCTTCGTTGGTTGTAAATATAGTGATAAACTTTTCCAGCTCTGGACATATAATTTCCAAGCCAGATTTACTATCACCCGCTTCTAAAGAATTTATAAAAACCTTTATTAAAATGGCTAACTTCATATTATAAGCTGTATAAACTCTCGTCAGTGGCGAAATAAGGGGAGGGAGGAATCAACACCCTATCAAAATTATGGATCCCCATCTTAAATTTTTATTAGAATTGGCTCCAGGAAATTTTAAAAATGGGTTCGTTCTGGCTCTTATATTACTTAAAAAAAAGGATTTATGTTCTAGTCCCAAGCTCTTATTATAATAAATAAATATTAATTAAAGTTATTCACAAACTTTTTGCATTGATACAGAAAGGGTATACTATATTTTGTAATTGGTTTATTCTGGAGCCCTGTACGAAACCCCTATAAATCTGATAACACCAAGCTCAGATAGGTCGGACAGGTCTTCACTATTCACTCGATCTCAATCCGGCTGTGTCTTGATTTCAAACTGTAGGGTCAATTTAGATTAGGACAAAATTATATTGGACTCAAGCTGGATATTTTAAATTATTTTGTTTCCCTAAAAGCTTTCATGTATATTCTTTTTAGGAAAGAATAAAAACACATTATTTTTCTTTATTTTCTTCTAAGTACTCTTATAAATTTTAGCGTATTCACTGAAATAATCATAATTTTTCTTCAACAATTAATTTTTTTAAATGATTTTTTCATGTATGGGGTCAAATTATTTCTAAAATATGAGTTTGAATCAGATCTTCAAAGAAAAAATAAAAACTAGGATTGATTGGACAAAAAAAAATTAAATATTAACATTTTCATATCACAAATATTTGAATTGTATTTGTAAATATTCAAACTATTTTTTAACAAAAAAAATTAAATTAAAGATTAGGCAGACTAATATCAATAATAAAATATTTTTATTTCTAGTGCAGTCATAGTCATACAGGGTCACCCAATCAGCCTAGTAACTTCATTAATTGACCCTATCAAAAAAACTAATGTAGGTTTATTTGATTTTACAGAATGAATGTCAAGTGAATTTGATTGTTAATTTTTTAATTACTTATAATATATATATATATAAACATCAATTCTTCATATAATTTAAAAAATACATAAAAGTTCATGATGAAATTGCCATTCATATGATGGATATCACCCTAATCTTCTCTTATTTTATCTAGCACATTGGTCATAGACATGCCTAAAGTAATGATCCAAATTGAAAGATTTTGAAACCCCATGTGAAGATTGTGAAGTTAATCAAAAAACTTTGGAGATTTTAAAAAATTATATAAATTTTCAAAAGAAACTTGGGTCCATCCAAAGGAAAAATTTGATTTTTAATTTTTTTTATTCATTATTGAAATTTAAGAAATCAAGTTTGGAAGGATATATAATGTATAAATTCAATAATCATTTTTTAGAATTTTTTGGACTTAGGACATTCACCCTTGATATAATTAAATTGCTTTTTATTCTAAGTATATAAAAACTATTGATTGATTAATAATGTTTTAGTAGGGCTTAAACCAAAAAACCCAAAATATTTCAAAAACATTAAACAAAAAAACTGAATTCAAAATAAATGTTTTTGAGTGATTTAAAAATAATTTATGTTTAATGTTCTGATTTATACATTGTAATAGTGTCAATTTTAACTAAAAATCTAATAAAAAAATTTAGACTAAGCTTTAATTGTTGAGCTCAATATTAAATATTATTTAGAAATAAAAATAACTTAAACTTAGCCAACCCTGAATCATTACTTTATCATACAATTGAAATAATATTAATCTTATAAAAATCTTAATTATATTTACTAGTTTATAAAATTAATAACCTGAGTATTTTTTAAAATTAATTATGCAACTATGATATTTTAAGAATATCTACATATGTTTTATTATACCATTTGAAAATTCTTTTATAGATTTGTAAATTTGTTTTAAAGCCTTTAACAATATATTATTTGGATTAGTTTTTATATCTAATATATTTCCAGATGTGATAGTATTATTATCTATGGATATGATATCTTTAGTTCTTGCAGTTTCACCAATTAAATTAGGCCTTATATTGTTGTGGTAATATATAATTGAAGGAGTGGCAAGTATCGGAAACCTTTATTTAATATTTAAAATTAGCATATAAATATTATAACTCTATAGGAGATATTATTTGGCAGTCAGAATTAATATTAGTAGAGTTATATGATAAACTTGAAGCATCTTCAATTTTTTGAAATTCATTTGAACCATTAACAAATGATGTCAGGTCATTTTCCAATGGCTAAAAAAATAATTTGTCAAAAAATTCAGAAATTAATTATTAAATATACATTTGAGTTATGAGTTGATTTCGATGAGCTATAGGAAGAACAATTCTCACTTTTCTCATTCATGAAAATTTAAAAATGGATTGATTTGATAAATTTTTAACATCTGGCAAATGCTAAACCATTACCTGTCTCATATGAAAATATAATTTATTTATTATCATATCTTGTACTATAAAAGATCCTAGAAATTCGTACAATGTAATAGCAAAGGATATAATTAAAATAATTTATATAGGGTTAGAAATTAACTTGGAAGTGAATCATGAATGGGAAATACGATGTTTCAAGTATTCTATACCTAAGATAAAAATTTGGTGTCTAGATGATTTAGAAACGGTAAAAACTGTATATATTTTAAGACAGCGTATCCATTGTCGTCATCATTATTTATAATAATAGACTTAATGAAAAAATTGTCTATATAAATATGTATATATTAGTGATGCAACGTTAATTTATTAAAAAACAAAATTAATTATGGATCGGCCCCATATTTTACCCGGTCATTTCGATAGGGTCGCCTTATTCTTATTTCATATTTTTATCAGAATTTTGGTAATCTCCAGGTAATGTTGTTAAACGGCTCGTTTTGAGCCGATTTTTAAAAACGGCTAACTCAATATTTTCGTTAGAAAAATATTGACTAAGCCTCGAAATTTCGATACTATATGTTTAGACCTTTGCTCCTTCTATGAGCAAAATATTCAGGCTTGTATAATGTATTTCTGGATAAAAAACTGAGTTAGCCATTTTTAAAAATCGGCTCAAAACGAGCCGTTTAACAACACTATCTCCAGGACTCACTTTATCACTTCCCTAATGTTTTATATTATTCATATGGAAACTTACAGCCTTAAATTTTAAAAGTGTATCATTCATTTATTTTGCTTGTATTTATATAAATATGGTTTAAGTATGCTATGAATGATTATAATATACTATTATATATAATCATTGGATAAATCATTATTTAATAATTCTAATCTTATTTAATTTTATTTTTAATTTTTGTTTTTGGGATAATGTTTTATACGTAATTATAGCTATACGAAATTAAAATGAAGAATTTTGATTGATAGCGCCAGAAATGCAATATTTAGTCATAGGGTCAGTTATGAGTCTCTTATCAATCAAATCAGAATATTTTTAAAATAATATTTGAATGTTTTGTATGAATTTATAACGATAATAGGCGTAGCCAGAGGGGGGAGCAAGGAAAAATCCCCCCCCCCCTTCATAAATTTATCATTTTTTGTGAATATCATTTTAAGCTAATAAAAAATATCCTCCTTAGTCCTTTCTCCACTCCCTGACTCCCAAAAATGTATGCATATATCTTAAACAATAATTTGAAAGAAAGAATGTAAAAGTTGATATTTTTTTTATAAAACTATTCTTAATAATTTATACATTTTTGGCAAAAAACATTTATATATAAAAAAAGTGAACCAAAAATGTTTTTTAGGAAATGGAATATAAGCCAAAGCTTCTTAAGACTAATGTGAAATGTATTATAATACAAAATTACTAAATAATATAATATATCAAATATAGTTTTTTATAAAGTGAGTAATTTAAATTTATTTATTTTATAAAAGTAAAATATAATAATAAAAGTAAAATATAATAATAAAACTATTGATAAAATTAAATCATAAATTAAATCATCATAATTAAATATAAACAAAACTAAAGGACAATAACAGTGCAATATTATATGTCTTAGATTTACAGTATATCTAATTTTATCAATTGTCATATGACAATCAAATAATTTTACCAATATAGCGAGAAAACTATAAAATATTGATAAGTAAGGACATCAGAAAATATCTTTTAATGACATTGTAACTTGAATAGTATGAAGATTAATTTTTAATATTTTATTATTTATAATAATTAGATGACGTTAAATAGTTGAATGCAAATTGTTGCTATATATATTATCAAGAGCATTGATTAGTAAATGTCAAATATCTCTGTAAAAGTGGAATTTTACCTAGTATTTTGTAACTATATACCATACTTTTATATTAAAGTATATACAAATGATTTATAATATTTTATATCTAATAAAAATATATTACGTATTTGTTCTAGGCTTATTATCTTTATTAAAAATAACCTCCTATATAATGTAAAAATATTTTATGTCTATATATAGACTAAGGTAACCCAGCCGAAGGCCGGGCAAATGCGGGTCGAAGGCCCGCCCAAATGGGATCCTAGGGCTTTGCCCCCAGGAATTTTTTAATTCCCCCCCCCTCTTAGGAAAATCCTGGCTACGCCTATGATAACGATATAAAACAAAAATTAACATTTTCCAATGCATATTAATAGCAATGTGTATCCATCATACAATTATTAAGCGGTTGGATTTGAGTTATCGATCAGATCATATATTTTTAAAAATGAAGATTTTTCATGAGATAACGACAGCAATCAGTATTTAGTCATAGAGTCGGTTATCAGTCAAGTCACAATATTTTTTAAATATTTTTTGAGATAATACTTTATGCAAATATAAATATTGAAAACAAAAATGAAGATATTTTCGATAAATAACACCAGCAATGTATGCCTTACAAGTTTGCTTTTTCGAATATAAACCAACTTATAAAAATGTCAAATAAACCTATCATTTTTTTAAAGAGTTTTACACATTTATTCACACCCAAAGATTAAAAAAAGCGCTAACCAATAATCTTTCAATTTTCCTATAGTAATATTTTTATATTTATATATTTAACGCCCTCTTTTGGAAATATATTTATTAACTTTTAAAACTGAAATTTGCGATTAAAAAATCTATTATACATGAAACTAATAATGCAAAATCGATCCATTTGAGCCGATTTTTAAAAATGCCGATATTTTATTCAGAAAAGTTTTACGCAGGCCTGAAGATTTTGCTCATAGATGGCACAAAGGTTTGGACATCTATTAGCAAAATCTCAAGGCTTAGGCAATATTTTTCTGGGTAAGATAGTTAGTCGTTTTGCATCATTTCATCAAACTGTCTTTCTTCTCCCATTCATTATATTTGATCTTATGATTTTACGTACTTTATAAAAAAAATTTATTCTTTCTGCTTATTTAACAGATATGGAGATAAAAAATCTAAATATATTTTAATCAGGATAAATTTTTAACATTAAGAATGGATTTATGAAGGAAAGACCTTATTTTTTTTTTGAAAAAATTTTTTTTCTTAAATAAAATCGAATCTAGTATTTTATTGAATAACAAAATGCCCTTCATTTATTCGATACGTTATAATATACAAATACAATAATATAATTATCAATATAATAATTTGGTCTTTATTAATAATTTGGCATAATATTATGTTTTACTAAGTACCGTGATATTTAAAAACAATTTTTTTCGAGTCGATTATTTAGTACCGGTGGGCTTAAAGGAATATTTATAATGCCGTAGTCTATTCGGTTTATGGCTGAGTGAGGAAAACGAAGAGATGGTTGCTCGAATATTTGAATGTATTTGAAATTTGGGCGTTTTTTTGGTCTCCCTATTTTTGCAGGTCAACGAGTAATATATGTCCTTAAAGCCGTTTCGGAATTTCGAGTTCATCCAACAATATATGAAGGGATTACAACAACTATGAGACATGGCTAGCCAATGACAGAAAAACCAGACGTAATGAATTTTATCGTATAAAAATATGTCTGGTTTGTAATCCGATACAACTATCAAGGTGTTAAGTGGGAACCAGCATATTCCAAATATGATTACAACAGTGATCATCATTTTTATAACCTTGATCATAAAAAAATAAAATAATTTAAATTTGTATATGAATAATATAAAATGTTTAAATTAATATAATAGAGATATTTGATATATATATAATAATATATTTAAGCAAATTTTTTTATAAATGAAGATATCTAAAGGTCCATCAATTGTTGTAGAATTAAAAAATATATAGTAAATATGAAAGGCTTGTTATTATTTTTTCCGCTATTTTATTCGAAATTATCAGTAAGTATAGTTCTGAAATTACTATATTTTTAGCCGTTAAGATAATTTTTTAGCCGTTAAGACAATTTTTTAGCAGGCTATAAAATCGTCTAAAACAAGTTTTTAGCCGAAAACTATCTCTTTAGTCTCGGATTTTTTTTAAAAAAGATAGCAGCTCAAATATGGAAGAAACTAATATAAATTAAAACGCCTTAATATTAACGGATTTACTCCGGTAAGCGCCTGAAGATTGAGCCGAATTAGCCGACAATTTGTCATTACCCAACTATATCAGTAAGTTTTAAAAAAAAATTATTTTTCAGTATAATAAGAGAATTGTCGGTATTTTATTAATTTCACCAGTTATAAATAACAATATCATAGGATTCAGGCCATGTGTTTTTTCCTGTTATTTTTTTCAACTTTAAATTATATTTTAAACCCGTTTTTTTTTTAAATTTAAAAATCTGATTTGACTGGAAATGTATTCCACGATATTTAAAATACCTATTCTATGAATTTCTTACAATTTTGCCATAAAAATTTGAACTTAATTTAATTTATATTCGCTTTTTCATAGATATTTTATACAAATTATAAATTAACGGTAAAATTGTCTACAAGCTAACGAATCACTGACATAAATGTAGTAGACTAAAGGACCGTGAAAGTACCCCGGACAAAAAGACACTGGACAAAAATATGCAGGAAAAGACATCAGACAAAAATATTCCCGATTTTGGAAAAAAATTTAAATTTAAAAACTGGAAATTTTTTTAAATTACCCTTTTTAAATCATTTAAAGTTTTTTGTACAATTGGAGTATTTTGTCCAATGTCTTTTTTGCACAGGGTACATTTGACAGGGTTTTATTGACAGACATTTATGTCAGTGAATCGCAGCTAGAATATATTTTTTTCCGGTATTTTTAATAGATTTCCAAAATAATAATTTTTCAGGATTTTAAATGATTTCCCAGTAAACATATTTATTCTCCTATATTTTAATTATATTACCAATAAAATGCTCTATTTAAAATCAATTTACCGGTATTTCATTACTATAATTAGTTATGCTTAAACTTTGAGATTTTTGATATGAAATATAAATTATAATCATTATAAATTACATTAAAAATTACTTTAAAATTAACCCAAAATTTATTAGCCTAAGATTGTACATTAAAATATTAATGTAATGTGTATAACATTGAATGTTATTGATTTTTTAATGTTTTATTAAAATATTAAATAGGTAAATTATCCTTATATACAAAAAAACATTGATTTCATAGCTCTATAGCGATGACCGTTGATATTACCTATAATACAGTTCTGGGTTCAAATCCAAGAAGGTTCGGGTTTTTTCTCCTGAAACCTTTGCGGACTAAATATTAAGTCTTCCTATAATAATTATCATTAAAAAATTTAACCCATTTATATTTAAATAAAACGAAATTTAATTATTAATCAATATAATATTACTTTTACATAAAAAAGTGCTGACTTTTCAAAAAATTATCAGATATCTAACCTTATGACCATCTAGCGAGGACACTCAATAGTCTACATCACAAACTAATTTCATAATTAGTTGTAAAGAAACTTTTTACTGATCAAAAATAAAATACTGACTCATTTTGTATTTAACAACGATTCCATTAATAAATTAAACATTATAATTTTTACGGAATCTAAATTTGTGAATCAATTTTTATACACAAAAATATATGGCAAAAATTATCTGAAATTTACAGAGTAAATTGATATGCTGAAATGCATTCCAGGTTAAATTAATTTTTTTTTCAAATTCAAAAATATTCCCACATTAAATGATATAAAATTTAGAAATCCCGAGTCTAATGATCTCAATCTGAATATACAACATGACATTATATTATTAATATATTCCTCCTACAATGACCTTGATATTCGTCGGCCAATTATTCTAAGAAATAAACAGGGTATCTTAAAAAGGAATTTAAAGAAGATTATATTACTTAATATTTTCAATCGGTTATTCACGAATCAGTGGGAAAAAAAAAGGAAGAGATAAGATATGATTTTATATAAGTATATTTATTTTAAAATATTGAACTAATTTAGTAGTAACTTTTTTTAACCTCATGTATGGACACTTTTAAAATCCATTTAATGAATGAATCGCCAATCTAGTTGTATCAGTGCCCCCCCCCATGAAAAATTTAAAAAAAATTTTTAAATTTTATTTTCTTAATTTATTAATTTTAATTTAATAAATTCTTAATAAACGCTTGATTTTTATGTTTTAAATTTATTATAAATAATAATAGATATACATATTTGATTATTTTTATATTTATTGGTTTGCAGCTATTTCACACCACCCAAGAAAGGAAGTTATTTATTCAAACGTATCATGATATTGACTTAAAAATCAAAAAAAAAACTAAAAAGATTTTGTCCGACCAAATTCATCGAAAGACAAGAGTCGGTGAAACTCTTTTTTGAAATATATAATGTTGTCTTTGCAGCACTAGAATTTTATATATCAAGCAAGGAAAAAGATTCAGCAGATGCCGAAAATCTTTTGCAGGCTATTATTAAGCCAGTTTTTAATTTCAATTCAATATGTTTATTTTTTATTTAATTATACATATGATTTTAGCAACTACAAAAAATTGATTTGGATTTAAGGAGATTATGAATAGAGCAAAGGATATTGTTGAAATATTAACAAATATCAGAGAGAATGTGGATGAAAAATTTCATGAAATATATGAAAAAGTAAAGGAGATTGCTAATATGTTGGAATTGAAATTTTTAAACCTAGAGTAGTCTCTAGACAATCCAATCGATCAAATATTGATGCAACTACGATTGAGGATTTTCATAAAATAAACATTTTTATTCCCCTTATTGATACATTTTTATTTCAATTAAAAGAAAGATTTATTAGTCATAATTATATTTCAAAAAGCTTTTATTTTCTTTTGCCGGTTGAGTCTAAACTGTTGATTACACTTGAAACACGAGAGGATATTAAAAAAATCTCAGAGTTGTATGCTGATGATTTAGTAGGTCCATATGATAAGTTACTTTGTGATGTCAAATTTTGGTATAAAAATCTTGACAGAATAGGGTATTCTATGAGACCAAAAAATGCTCTGCAGGCCCTTTCCATGTGTAATTGCATTTTAGATTCCCTGCCTAATATCAAAACATTATTAATTATTTTAGCTACCTTGCCAATTAGTACCTGCATTAATGAAAGGTCTTTTTCAACTTTAAAAAGGTTCGAAACCTATTTAGGAAACACAACCGGTGAAAAACGTTTAAATGGATTAGCCCTATTGAATATAAACAAGGAGATTTTAGATAAAAATTTGATTCTAGATGAATTAGCAATATCTCTGAGAAAAGTTGATCTCTCTTTTTATATTCAAATCAAAAAATAGCAATAAAATTTTATTAGTTTTAATATATAATCAACTTTTTTTTGTAAAAAAAGTATTATTTATAAGATAATATCATCATATTTTTTTAAATACCATTATTTGCATAAGAATTACGCATATTTTATATAATTGTAAAAAATTACTTTTTTTAAAATAGAGTCTTTATACATAATAATTTTTAATATTAAAATCTGTATTATATAAAATATCAACATTTCGAATATATTTTAATTAATAAAAATATATACATGATTAAATAAAGGAATGTAAAATATATAATAAAATACCTTAAAATTTTGTTATATGAAAATATAAAACAATTTTAACAAATCCAAAAATATAAGCAATTAACGCCCCCCAAAAAAAATTTTAAACCCCCCCCCCCCCCCATGATAAAATCCTGGCTACGCCACTGAGTTGTATATATCATTGGTCCCAATACGACATTATATAAAAATATTTTATATTTTATAAATCAATTTGTATACTTGGCTTTAACAAAAACTAAAGTCACCTTTATGTATCTCATTAACAAAAAAAGAGAGCATCTTATTAAATATTCTATGATTGTTTGAGGAAAACGATCGACATTTAAAAATAACAACTTATTTAGTATATATATTTTTATTTTTAATCTTAAGCCTTTATATTTTTTTTTCTTGAAAATATTTGACTTTTAATTTATAGTGGTTTTGGTTTGGATTAAAAAAAAAATATTTAATATATAATAATATAAAATATTTTTTTTATTTCACAAATTACTATTATGCTCGACTCTCGTAGCATCTAAAATAAATTCTTTTAATCAAAAAGAAAAAAACAAACTCCAAATAATAAATCAAAAACCGGTTTTATATAATTTACTTATTTTTTTATTTTAAAAAATGATATTTATGTTCCATTAAAGGTAATTAAGTTTTTTTTTTCTTAAAAGACTAAGAAATGATAATAAATCAATAATTATGAAATAATTTTTTATAAAAAAAAAATTGTCACTTTAAAATTTCTTTTCATGTATTTATAATTTCTATTCTCATAAGTTTGAGATCTAAAACAAATGGCCTTACTTTTTAATTTGGAACAGAATCGACAAAAATCAAACATTAAATATTCGTAGAGTGCAAACAGGCTTTTTATGAGTTTGAAATTTTAAACTCTTCTCTCATAAAGATTTTCTGAATCACGAACAGAAATGTCCTGGACAAAAAGATACCGGATAAAAATGCCTCTGGATAATTTTTGTCCACGTGAGTTATTTTGTCCAGCGCTTTTTTGTCCGGATTACTTTGGTCATGGTCATTTTGTCCAGGGTATATCTGTCGGTGATTTATTAACACTAGGATATTTAATCAATATTTTC